TTGGATACTGCATAAATTAGTTTACTCTGAGCTGAGACTAAAATGTGTGAGCTGGAGGCTAAAAAACTGTGAGCTAGCTCACACTAACTCAGCTTAGAGGGAACACTGGGGGGGTATAAATCCAATCTAAAAATAAATAAATAAAATAAACATCAGGAGGAAGAGACTGACCAGAGAGAGAGAGAGAGTACCCCAGACAGAGAAAACAAAGTGTCCCCCCGCTCATCAAACTTAAAGGGGGGGGGGAATCCACAATCTGCTCAAAGCTGGGAAAACGCGCTGCCCCTTTAAGAAGTGAAGGTGGAGGGAGAGGAAGAGCAGCGGTACCACCCCATATAGGGGGGGGGGGGGGCAGCAGCAGCGCGGAATGCTTTAGTGGGGCCGAGTTCTATGGACGGGTCGGGTGGGGCTGGGTTCCAATCAGCAGGGATCCAAAGCCGTGCCGTTAGGAAAACGTTCTGTTTGCTTTTGTAAAAATTGCGTTTTGGGAGGAGGCTGAAGTTGGTTCCTTATTCGCTCTTCCTTTAGGGTCAGTTGAGGCCTCTCTGCGCTTTAGGACGCGCACATTAGCTTTTGGTTTCAAGCCTTCCCAGACTTTTATTTCACTGAACACTGAGAAAAGTAAGACCGCATTGAACAGTAAGGGAGACAGGTTTTAAAACTTTTTAAATTGCATTTTGCTTCAGGGGAGGGCTTCCTACGCTTTAGAATGCACATGTTAAGCTTTTGGTTTCAAGCCTTTCAAATGTATTTCGTTGAACAGTGAGAAAGGGACAGTTTTTAAAGCTTTCTGTTGCTTTGTTTTTTAATTGCATTTTGATTCAGTTGAGGGCTTCCTGCAGTTTAGAATGCGCCTATTAGCTTTTGGTTTCAAGCCTTTCAAATTTATTTCATTGAACAGTAAAGAAAGGGAGACGGTTTTTTAAAACGTTCATTCTATTCTGTTTTGGTTTTTTTTAATTGCATTTTGTTTCAATTGAGGGGCTTCCTAGATTAGCCTTTGGTTTTAAGCCTTTAAAATTTATTTCATTGAACAGTAAGGGAGGGAAACTGTTTTTAAAGCCAGTTTGGTGCCGTGGTTAAATGTGCGCACTCTAATCTGGGAGAACTGGGTTTGATCCCCCACTCCTCCACTTGCAGCTGCTGGATGACCTTGGGCAAGCCATAGTTCTGTCATTGCTGTTCTTGGAAAAGAGCCGTTTCTGTCAAGAGCTCTCTCAGCCCCACCTGCCTCACAGGGTGTCTGTTGTGGGGAGAGAAAGGGAGAGGAGTCTGTAAGCCGCTCTGAGACTCCTTTGGGGAGTGAGGGGCGGGGTATAAATCCAATCTCTTCTCTTCTTAAAACAGTGCAGAAAGAGATACTATGTAAGCATCAAGTAAAATGGGAAAGCCACACAATTTGGTGTCTCACAGAGCTGTGTAGTAAATGAGTTTTTAGTCCAGTTTGAAGTTTTTGTTTTGTTCTTAAAGAAATCTAGTGGGAAAGCCCACATACATCAGCATGGCTTGAAAGAGGAAAAAATTGGTTTTCATACCTTTGGGGGAGGAGGGAGTAAGAGCTGGATTCTCATGGTGTCTCTTAAAAACAAAAACAAACCAGAACTCCCCAAATCCGATATAAAACTAGGACTATGCCGGTTACTGTGTATAGGGTTGCCAGGTTTGGGTTGGAAAATACCTGGAGACTTTGGGGGTGGAGCCAGGAGAGGGCGGGGTTTGGGGAGGGGAGGGGCCTCAACATGGTCCAATGCCACAGAGTCCACCCTTCAGAGCAGCCATTTTCTCCAGGGGAGCTGATCTCTGTCAGCTGGAGATCAGTTGTAAAAACGGGAGATCCCCAGGCCCCACCTGGAGGCTGCCAACCCTAACTGTGTAGTTGAGTACCACAGAAGATGTATAATAATTAGAGTGCACAAAAGAGTCAGGAATGACAACTTAGCAAACAACCACAACCCGTTTGCTTTCATCCATCCAGGTCTACACTGGCAGGCTTGACAGCCCCAGCCTTTTATGAAATAAAATGCTGCATGTCTTCCCGGCAAAATCCACGGTTTCGAGAGACGAACCTGCCCACCGGCTGAGCTGAAGTCCCGCCTTCAGCGCCACACCAGTCTCTTGCGCCTGCTTTCCTTTCTCACGTGAAGGAGCCACTGCCATTCTCTGTGCCAGCGCGCCCTGTAGTTGCAGCCGGGTTTTGCCTTTTGAAGGTTAGCCTGAAGCTCAGGGCAGCCAGGAAGCAAAGTCCGATGGCCGGGGAGGAAGGAGGGCGTTCGGGCTCATCTCCTGCCACAGGGCCCGGTCCCGACACAGGGGCTGGGGCCGGTGCAGCTGGAGGAGAGGCCGGCGGTGGCAGTGGCTACGATAGCAAGTGCATTTTCTGCAGGATCACTCATGGGGAGGAGCCGGGCACCGAACTGCTGCCTTGCGAGCACGAAGACTTGGTGTGCTTCAGGGATATCAGACCCGGAGCCCCACATCATTACCTGGTGGTGCCAAAAATACACTTTGGCAACTGCAAGACTTTGAAGAGGGAGCACATCCCGTTAGTGGAGAGAATGATGGCGGCCGGGAAGAACATCCTTCAGCGAAATCAGTTTACTGACTTGAACGACATAAGAATGGGTTTTCATCGCCCCCCTTTCTGCTCCGTAGACCACTTGCATCTTCATGTCCTGGCTCCGGCCAGCCGGTTGGGATTCGTGTCCCGAATGGTATACAGGCGCAGTTCCTACTGGTTTGTCACAGCTGAGCAACTGATGGAAAGACTGAAGGCTTGAAAGTGTCACACGCTGAAAAAGCGCTTGCCTCTAGATGACGCTTTGTGACCATTAAACATAATCGAAGACAATTTTTGAAGATGCCGCTATACCAAAGGTTGAAATAATGGTTAATGAACATCGTACCTCAAAATTCTCAGGCAAATATCTGAAATAAGAAAAAAAAAATACCCAAATCGCTCTTTACAGCATTCATTTCTACAAATCAGAAAACTAAGTGTCCAGTGTCTTCAGAAAGATAATTATGAATCCTGCCTAAGAAAGCACTTTTATATGTGCATCTGGATGGAAAGTTTTTAAAAATGTGCATCTGGATTGTCTGATTTTGTGCCTGTGCAATATACATGAGCAACACTTGGCATCACGGTGCTAACCATAGTTACGATGATTATTGGTGCTAAATCACTTCATCACGGTTGCATTTTCATGACTAAGTACATCAAGAATAATTACTCAGAACTGTGTGTGATGAGTGGGATTATACCGTTGAACCACAATATGATTGCTTGAATATAGATTTTATCCAGTTAAGTGCATGTATTTAAGAATAGGAAGTGAATTATAGGACAGATCGAAAGTAAAGTCATGGTTTCTTTGAACTTAAGTCTGTAAAGTTGAACATATACAGACAGTTCATGGGGCTTATGCTGGGCCTAAACTGTATTGCAGCATTGTCAGAGACATTAGGGTGTGTTTTACATAGCAAGAAGCTATCACTGTGCAAACAGAGCTTGGCATCTAAACCTTAGGGAACATCAAAATGGCACAATTGGACATGATTCAAGACTTGGTTTGAAGTTACGTTCCCCAGTACCTTTGCTGTGAACTTGTTGTCTTCACAGTGATGTTAACCTTATGCGGCGTTCATACACCTTAAATTCATCCATTTTTTCCCAATTAAAAAAACTTGAATGAGTAGTGATTGTAAACGTTCATTACTTAAGAAATGTAATTGCTTTGTACAGTTGCCCGTTGCATTTGTGTTCAAAGTATGTCAAAATAAAACAATAATTCTTTGTGTCTTTCTCTGGACTTTAGAGTTTTAATTGCCTTTATTTATTGGTTCTTTAGCATGTATTCTGCTACTAGGATTAACTTACTTCTGGATGGCCCCGGTCACACGGGCTGGAAAATGCGGGGGGGGGAGCGTGGCTGTTTGCCCCGGGGCAAACTAACACGCACTGCCCGATCAGACGTCTGGTTGAGGTCCCGTCCAGGTCCCGTGGCTAGTGGGGAGGTGCCAATCACACGACAGGCAAAGAAGCGAGCAGGGCGGCAAACGGAGTTGTTGGTTTTTAAACTTTTTAAAACTGAAGTGTGCAAGCATGCTCTGTTGGGTGCTTGTACGCCTCCGTGGAGACTTGGGGGAAAAAATGACCTGTTTGCGAGGGGACATGGGCGGGCGCCGGATGCCACCGGAAACGCAATTAGACGCCCGCCCTTGCCCCGCGGTTTCCAGAAACTAGTACCTCAGAGGTACTAGTTTTTTGCCCCGGATCTTCGGCGGGAAGCCCCGGGTGAGCCACAGGAGCTCTACGCTTCCCAGATGTGGCGGTGTGATCACGCCTGAAAAATCCGCCTATCTTCCGTCTCTGTAGCGTGGCTAATGCTCCGTGTGACCGCAGCCGATGTTGGTTAAGATCCAGTAAAACTCTGGGGAGGAGGGGGGGAGCTGCCTACCATGTTGAAATGTTAAAAACTAAATATTAAAGTATGAATAGACTATATATGTATTGCGACTGTGAGTTTATGTAACAGAACTGTGAGTTTACATAATGGAAACCAGTTGAAATACTGTTATGAGAAGGAAAAATCCTAATAAAAGTCATTATCCATTGGAAAAACAAAAAAACTAGGACTGTGGCCAGAACCATAAACACAGATCCAATACTTTGTAATGCTACAAGGGTGCAAAAATATGAATCTGAGGCATGATTTTTACATTGAAACAACCACTGTCCTATTGTAGATTATGTCTTAGTCTATAGGCAGCACCACAAAAATCATGCATCCACTGCTTCAAGGTACCATGCTGGCACAAAAATATAGTTCCAATGCATGGATCCTCAGGATTTTTGTGTTGGGTTGAATGAATGAACCGGAGTTGAAACTGAGTGCCTAGGTTGTACCTCATTTCAAGCATCGTCTTCCTCAAAGTCAGTTTCAGAATTCAGCTTCAATAATGCTGTTAAAAAGCAGCAATTCAGCGCTGCAGTCTGAAACGGTCTGGAACTAGTCTTTAGATACACATGGATATAGCCAGTCAAACTTTTCTAGGAGCAACACAGGCTTCTGGTTTCAACGAAGTGGGCAGGATTCTCACTTTAGTTTACTGGCTTTTAAAAGCGTGTTTATCTATTATATTTCACCCAGGGAAGACCAAGAAATAAGAGGGAGGAGAAGTTTACCCAGCAACTGTGCTGCTTGTTTGCCAGTACCATAATTCTTCTATAGTTCCAGTTGTCCGATGGGAAAAAAAAAATAGTCCAGAGTCCAAAGTCTTTTTGTAATTTTTATATGCTGGGGATTACCAAAGATCACATTCTAATAGACAATATTCAAACAAGATAGTAACATATATCTTCCTGTTGAGCTGTTTATTTGTCAAATCTGCCAGACTGCTCTCTCTCTCTTTTTTTTTTACTATGTCACACAAGAGCCAAAGCTCCAATCCTTTTAGATAACACATTTTTCATCAGGTAAAGGGGGGGGGGGGGACTGATCATTTAATCCACAGAGAAGATAATCCACAAATATGTGCAGTGGATGCACATGCAGTTGTTATTATTGCCCATTTGCAGGGTGGCACCTGCAAAAAAAGTTCAAGACCCGGGCTGCCGCATGATGGAGTAAGCTCCCGTCTCTGGCTCCAGCTCCTGCCAACCTAGCAGTTCAAAAGCAAGAAATTGCAAGTAGATAAATAGGTACCACTTCGGTGGGAAGGGAACAGCGTTCCATGCGCCTTGGTGTTTAGTCATGCCGGCCACATGACCACGGAAACGTCTTCGGACAGCGCTGGCTCTTCGGCTTTGAAACGGAGATGAGCACCGCAACCCTAGAGTCGGACTCGACTGGCTTTCGAGCAAGGGAACCTTTACCTTTACCTGCAAAAAAGGCCCTACTCAGGTGAGTGAAGCTGTTCTGGTGGCGCATAGGGGGGGAAGGCAGCCCCCCAAAGAGATGAGGATCCAAGGCCATGAAGGGCTGTGAATGCGACAGCCAATTCCTTGAATTGAACCTGGGAACGGGATGGGAAGCCAATGGAATGACTGCAGAACGGGAGTAAGATGCATGCTCAGCCTAGCTCCTGATAAAATAACCAAGCTGTGGGCTGATACACAAATTGGAGCTGGCCTTGATGCCGCAGCCCGGTCGCCCGCACCCAACTGGAATGCCAGCCGCTCATACACTAGAATGGCTGCTCACAAGACTCCACGGCTTAGAGGGAGCCTTGCCCAAGAGACCCAAGCGGAGAAAGCGGGAGACGGCCTCAGAGGCGGGCGGCCGCCCGTCCCCTCCTCCTCCTCCCGGGCGGCGCTCTTCGTAGCTCCACGCCGGACCCGAGCCACGGGCCCGGAAAGGCCGCGCGACAACCCCAGCGCGAGGTGGGTGCGTGCGCGGCCTTAGTGCCGAGGCGGAGGGGGGGCCCGCCTTTCGGGAGCGGCTTCGACCCCCGTGGCCGGGAGAGGGAGAGAGATATCCATCCGCCGGGGCTCCCGCGCTCTTTAAAAGCAGACCACTGTTAGTGCCATGGGCTACTCCAGGCCCAGCCCGTTGCATTCTGGGGGACCTTAAGTCACTGCTGTCGGTGGCACTGTGGTTGACAGTTGCTCTATCCGGGTCCTTCCCTGTGTGGTTTCAGCTGGTACTTTTCTGGCAAGCGCTGTCCTCCTTGGGAAAAGAGCCGTTTCTGTCCGAGCTCTCTCGCCCCCCCCCCCCGCCTCGCAGGCAGTGTTCCCTCTAAGCTGAGTTGGTGTGAGCTAGCTCACGCCCCCCCGCCTCGCAGGCAGTGTTCCCTCTAAGCTGAGTTGGTGTGAGCTAGCTCACGGATTTTTGTAGCCTCCGGCTCGCGTATTTTCGCCCTAGCTCAGGAAGGGAGGGCTCCAGAGCAAAGGGATGCTTGCAGCAGCCACATTGCTGGGTCGCAACTTGAATGCCAGGAACTCACCAAGTTGGATTTTTGCTCCCCAGACTCCACAGTTTAGACTTAGAGCAGTGGTGGCCAACCTTTTAGAGTGCCCAAACTACGACCCAAAAACCACTTATTTATCGCAAAGTGCCAACACGGCAATTAAACCTGAATACTGAGGTTTTACTTTAGAAAAAACAACTCA